AAAGGTTATAATTGATTTGTTTTGGAGGGTGCTGTCGAAAATTGAATGAACTTTGTAAAGCGTGCTGTTGTTGTTTGGAAAATTGGATTTAATAAAAGCTTGAAGCAATTGAAAGTTTTTAATATTTGCAGTTGAATTGTGTGGGATTTTTAAATGATTAAAATAAATACATTTGGATGATCATCAGTCAGTTGTAGAGGATTTACAATGTTTTACTAGATTTTTGATGAAGTTTAGCAACAGAATTGAATTTTAAAGGAGATTAGTTGATAATTCTAGACACCACTGGCTACAAAAAAACTAAACTCAACCCTCTTTTCCATTCAAGTATTCAAAATAAATTAGCAAATTAATAAAAAAATTCCAATTCTCTTTTGTTTCGAGGCGTTCATCAATAATACAGCACACTATCTGCAGATGAACCACAGATAATTCGCATCATATCTCTCAATCCATGACTAAACCATAGCGCAAAATTACTGAGTAATTCATCTCAATCCATTCAGTAATAATCACATCATTTCAATCAATCAAATATATCTTTCAAAAAGCATCAACATCATCATCATCATCATGGCCATAAGTATGTGCTATTTGAAAGTAAAATGTTATTTAATCTAACATACACGAAAAATTGCAATAACTATGCGAGAAATCCAAAAGCGTAAAGTTTAATGATCTTATATCATCAATAAAGTTAACAAAATTTTATCTCTTATGGATGGAATTCATTCATTTATGGACGTTATTCATGAGCATTACAAGAGGAATATTTTGGAATTTGATATTAATTTAGTTTCTTTTTGGGTGCTTAGAGAGAGCTTTCTTGGATAAGATTGAAGTTACATTAGGTTATGAATGTTGAGGTATTGATGAAATGGAAAGATTTGTAATTTGATACTTTTTGGATGCAATGTTTTAATTTATTTTTTAACGTTAAGAGTATGTAGAGTTGTGAAATTAGGTTTAACTTTCAGTTTAAGGTTAAAAATGGGAAAATTGATTTTTAAAAAACCATTAAATTTGAATTGTCAAAAAATATAAATAATTAAAGTTGAAAAAATTTAAAATTTTAAACTGGTTGAAAATGTTAAAATTTAAGTTTGAAAAATTATAAATTAGAATTTTTTTAAAAATCTTAGAATCTTAGAATGTTAAAATTTAAGTTAAAAAAATTATAAATTTGAATTTTTTTAAAAATCTTAGAATTTAAATTTTTTAAAAAGTTTAAAATTTGACTTTTTACAAAATAAAAATTGAAATTTTCTTAATTTTCTTGTTTCTGAAACTTGTCAAAAAATTAAAACTTGAAATTTTTGTAAAAATTAAAACATGAACTTTTCATTTTAAAATTGGAATTCTTAAAATTGTTAAAATTTGAATGTTAAATTTTAAATTTGTTTCAATTTAAATTTTAATTTGATTTTAAAAATGTTAAAACTTGAATTTTTTAAAAACCGTTAGAACTCCAATTTTAAAAATTAAAGTTTCAAAAATCTTAAAGAAACTTTTTAACCTCAAAAATTAATTGAAACCTTCATGCAGTCCCAGATATTATCTTAATTTATTGAATGTCGACAGCAAGTGAGTCGAATCACTTACAACCACCTTAAAAAATTCAAACAACTACTTAAAATTTTGATACAGCTACTTAGCATCCGGAAGCATTATTTAACTAATGGCGATTTATTATTCAATTCTTCTTCGTAATGAACGACAAAAAAAAAGAAAGGCATCACAATAAGTTAATCATTGCAAAACCCGATTTAACCATGAAATTATTTCTGCTCAATTGATTCCAAACAATTTGAATTGGATATGATTATTTGTGAACGTGATTCTGATGTTTATCTATTTTTAATTAAATTTCCAGGCATAAAATTTGATGCGATTTTATTGATTTGTTATGCAAATAATGTTTGATGGAATTTTGATTTGTGTTATTTAGTAACAATTGATGTACATGATGGGGTCATATCAGGTTAATTTATATTGTGTTAATTTTTAATGACTTGGATATTTGTGGATGGAAATAATTGAAATTATGACTGATTTAATTGAAAATTTCTACTTTTGAACTAGTAAAACTGCACCTAGTAGAGGGGTTGCTATAGTAAAGATAGGGGTGTTGGGGTGAAGGGGAGGAAGAGGGGGGGGGTTAAAAATTGGGAGTCGGTAGTTGTTTTTTTAAACCTATCTAACTCAATCTAAACTGAGAAGTTTATAAAAATAAAATTTATTTCCCAAAATCATCTTCTTTCTTAAACATGAAGCATTAAACTCTGATAAGCAGCTGCGGATAATTGAAAATAGCTACTCTACAACATCATCAAAGGTATTTTAAGATGATTGCATATAAATACTTACCAATTTAAAAATTTGGGAGTTGATCAATTCTTATGTTCAATTTTTGGAGCAAGAGGGGGAGGAGGGGGGTGAGGTGGGGTACCCAAAGGGGGGGAGCTCTCGGAGAAGATTTTAAAAATTTTTTCTCATTTTTTTAAAAAACGCTAATAAAAATCAAAAACTAATTAATTTAAGCCAGTGACATTTAATATTCCTCATTATCAACATAAATAAAATGATCTGAGTGATTTTTTTGAATATAAAAATTTTTTGGGCACCATTCAAAAATCCTGGCTACGCTCCTTTAGGTACCTAAAGTAATAAGTAAACATCCTCAAACAGCATTTTGTGCATGAAAACTTTTCAACATCTTCTTCAAAATTCATCAACATTATCTCAAGAAATAATCTATTGCTATTTATGAAATTTAATCTCTGTTCATTTATCTATCAGCAAAAATATTAATTTTATTTCTCGGTTCCTATCTTTATATTCATGAATGCGTGTATCTATAACAGGAAATCTTGATGATAAATAATGCTTTACTAAATTCGTACGAAATATTCATCTATTATTTTTCATCATTGCTGTGCTGTTGAAGTTTATGATGAAAAATTTACCTTACATCTTCAATGTTCCTATCCAATTTGCTATTTTTCTTGATTGAGTAAACATTTAAAAACCCCGAAGAACGTGATTAATTAACAAAATTTTCAAAATTGACTAGAATAAAAAAAAAATTTATGAAAAATGAATAAAGCTGAGTATCGAGATGAGGAAGAAGAATCAGACATGGCATGAAGTGTACACATTCAATGACTCATTGTTCAATATATAAAAAAAACGAGGAAAAATGTTGATTTCTCAATTCTCATAGGTTGAACATCTGATACTGATCTCAATCTGTGCTTGATTTCACATAAGACTGACACTAAATAATATTTTCGAACTAGCTCTTGATATCTCTGTACATATTGCAGATTATTTACTCTGCATTCTCATGATGAAAATTAAGAAGAAATAAAATTCTGATATCGTATTTAAGCTGCTGTGCATGATTGTTATAGTTCAGCATTATCTTATTTTTTTAGAACTGAATGATTTTGGAAGGGCAGGTATCAAACTACTATCTGATTAGCATATTAAGATTTTTAGGTGCACTGAGATGAGTCAGCATCATTAATCCATTGGATTCTGTAGCTAAATCAATGTTCGTCAGGTGCGTAGGCAGGAGCATCTTGTCCCCCTTTTAAGCGATTTAGGCTGTGCAAGGCTGTGGTTAAAAAGGGGGGGGGGGCAAGACCCTCCTGGCTACGCGCCTGATATTAGTGGACCTTAATGCACTTTAAAGCTATAAATAATTTTTCAATGCTACTCAACTTTCAATATTGAGCTTTACAATAAAAACCCTTTTGTATCCATTAATTCTTCTTACAACATTCAAGTGTTTTTGGTAAATCTGCATCAAGCTGTTCATCACGAGCTCAAGATGATGAAGAAGTAAAAGGCAGAGGTCGAAGCGAGCATAGCGAAGCGAGTTTTTAGCGAGTTCGCTTCGCTAAAAATTCAACTTGCTAAAGTCGACCTGTAGCGAGAATTTTTTTTTTTCTTTTCGCCTTAGCGACCTATAGCGAACTCAATTTTATTTTTTTCGCTTTAGCGAACTATTAGCGAACTTAATTTTTTAAAGTTCGCTATAGCGAACTATTGGCGAACTAGAAAAAATTTTTTGGCTTCATGTAAAGAGATGTCTGATTGCGTTTGTGAAGTATGTAATTTCATACAAAATTGCAAAAAATTATAGTTCGCCAATAGTTCGCTATAGCGAACTTTGAAAAATTAAGTTCGCTAATAGTTCGCTATAGCGAAAAAAATAAAATTGAGTTCGCTATGGTTCGCTAAGGCGAATAGAAAAAATTTTTTCTCGCTACAGTTCGACTTTGGCAAGTTGAATTTTTAGCGAAGCGAACTTGGCGAACCAAGTTCGCTTCGACCTCTGGTAAAAGGGCAATTGATTTTATTTCATGTCTGTAAATGCTTAGTATTGTTTACGTCAATTCTTGATCTCATTATTTGGTCAAGGTCTGCTTATTCTTTTCACATCTTTTTTGTTGGACACTTTAAAAATCAACATATTCAGCATAAAATTTCAATGTTTATTGTCAATGACATTGTGCCTTTCTGTTGAAAGTGAGAGAGCTGTAAAAAAATGTTTTTAAAAATAACAGCATGAGGCTGTTAATGGAGTAATTTGGGATATGACAGTTTACAATGTTTTTACATTTTCCAATGGAGAGTATTAATTGAAATAAAGCATATGGACAGTATTTGTTTAATGTCGGATCGCGGGATTTGCAGCTATTTTAAAGTCGATTAGCTGCTGGATTTGATGAAAATGGTTCATAATAAAAGCTGATCATCGATTCTTATCAAAATGGACACAAATAAGCTCCATATCACTAGAATCAGAAGTGGCGCAGCCAGAAATTTAAAAGCAGGATGGGAAAGGTTGGAGTCAGGATTACACAGACTTTAGTAATTAATTCTAGACCTAAAATAAAGTGCGATTCAAAATGTTACTTTAAAATGGAACTAATTCTGAGTCTCCAACCCACAACAGCTATCGTTCTAATATTAAATACCATAATCTTAAACCTTTAAGCCACAGACTCACCATAACTCATAAAATAGTAATGACAACATACAATCTATATGCTTGCAACCTAAAACTTTCATCTACAATTTTATTTCCTAATTTCATGCCAATAATCAATGTCCAAAAATACAGTCAAAGCCTCAAAAGTCAATATAGTTACTGTCCATCACACTTAAGTCCTGATTTTTCAGCAGCAGACTTTAAACAATGGAAAATGTCACTGCCACGAGCACACCGATCAGGATCAGCAATTGCAGCACATTCCTTAACCATTTCCTTCATTTTTTCCATCGTCTCTGCATCAACATCCATTTTACCGGCTGTCATTTCAACAAATTTATCAACATCAACTGTATCTTTCTTTACAAATCCCATCTCTTCCATCACACAATTCAACATGCATTTTACTTCTTGAGGTATGGGACCAAGTTTGCCTGGCTTAAACATACTCAAATCAGGAAGATTTCCAATTTCCGATTTGCATTTTTCAAAGCTCGCCTAAAAATTGAAAAGATTTGTGCATTTTGTGTTTTAACGTTTATTTATGAATTTCAATTTAGATTACCTTCATGTGCTTCATGTATTCTTCAGGAGATTTGCATGATGCAATTGCAACAAATGCCAAAAGAACAATCAATGTGGATTTCATTTTAGTTTTAGTTTTATCTTTCAATCACAAATTTACTTTGAACAATGATCGATATTGAGTTGGATTTGGATTTTATATTGAAACTTTTTTGGGGATTATCTTGTCGTGTATATAATTGTGACTTTAAAATTATATGGAAATGAGTTTGGATAAAAGCTTTAATCCAAAACATTCATTACGATCAATTAGTGCTTCTTATCGTTTATTAAATTTTATAGCAACATCAAATTAGAATGTTAATGAGCTATGAAAATGATTAGGATGATGATGGTGATTTTGTTTCTTATTGACTAAGGTTTGCTAAAGAACTTAAGTCGCTATTGTTATTACATATAATGAACATTATAATTTGGTAAACGACAATATCCTCTGTTTAACTCTATGTTCTATGATGTATAAAGAATATTTAATTATGACTAGGCTAGTAAGCCGTGATGCACTCAACAGAATCATTGTCAAAGAAATTCTCAGTTCTTGGTTTTTTTAGTTCTTGGTCCTTGGTTTTTTCAATCTCGGTTCTTGGTCTTTGGTTCTTGGTTCTTGGTTTTTGGTTGTTGGTTTTTTTGAATTTTGGTTCTTGGTTTTTGGTTCTTGGTTTTCGGTTCTTGATTCTTGATTTTAGGTTCATGCTTCTTTGGTTTTGGTTTTTGGTTCTTCGTTCTTGGTTTTTTGGTTCTTCGTTCTTGGTTCTTGGTTCTTGGTTCTTGGTTTTTGATTCTTGGTTCTTGATTCTTGGTTTTTGGTTTTTGGTTTTTGGTTCTTCGTTTTTCGTTTTTGGTTTCTTGGTTTCTTAGTTTTTGGTTCCTGGTTCTTGGTTTTTTGGTTCTTGGTTTTCGGTTCTCAGTTCTTTTTTATTTGAATTTTGGTTCTTGGTTTTCGGTTCTTGATTCTTGGTTTTAGGTTTATGCTTCTTTGGTTTTGGTTTTTGGTTCTTCGTTCTTGGTATTTTGGTTCTTGGTTCTTGATTCTTGGTTCTTGGTTCTTGTTTCTTGGTTTTTGGTTCTTGGTTCTTGGTTCTAGGTTCTTTCTTGGTTCTTGGTTCTTGGTTCTTGGTTCTAGGTTCTTTCTTGGTTCTTGGCTCTTGGTTTTTAGTTCTTGATTCTTGGTTTTCGGTTCTTGATTCTTGGTTTTTGGTTTTTGGTTTTTAGTTCTTCGTTCTTCGTTCTTGGTTTTTTGGTTCTTAGTTTTTGGTTCCTGGTTCTTGGTTTTTGGTTTTCGGATCTTAATTCTATTTAACCAGAATTATCCGTAGAATTTTGATTCCTAACGTTAAACATGAGAAAGCTTCCTTTTTATATCCTCCTCTGACCCCCTTGCTCCGCTCCTGAATTGCTCTGTTATGGGCAAGATCAAAAATGAATTGTTCGTGACGCTTAACAATAATTTACAATTTTTGAATCAATAATGCGACATATGTATTTAAGACTTGTGATTTTCTTATAGTCCTTGCCAAGACCTATATTTTGGTGTATAACAAGTATCTCTTAGACATTGTATTATAATTAAAAATTAATTTAAAGTGCTAAGCGTCACGAACAATTTTGAGGAAATTCGATTTTACACCATGTTGCTAATGTAATATCTCTGCGAATACTTCATTAATCATAACGATTTTTTCACCAGATAATTAAGTAATCAGATCATTAAAAGTTTTGTCTAAAATATACAAAATGGCGGATTTGTAAGTTAGCTTAATTCAGCTTTAAAATGTTGAAGCTGAAATTTTGATATGAAGGAAATAGTTTAGGAACTATCTTTCTTTACAAAAAAGGTTACATATGTAATTTTCTTTAAGTCTGTGAGAGAAAATTTTCAATTTTACTATAATTAACCAAGTTATGATGAGTTTTACAAAACTAGTCATAAGTCATTGCTGTGTTATTCGTCTACTGATTTTTTCATTTCAAACTATAGAATTCAACAATGTTTATCATATTGCAAAAGAAATATTACTTTTTGTTCAAGACAAGCAGAGAAAATTAAATTATAGTAAAAAATTTGACCAAAAATTTTGTAACGGTTTTTAAAATTATAAATTTGTGAGCAAATAAGAGCAAAATTTGTTGCTCAACTTAAATTTCATTGTTTTTATAGTTAATTTAACTTACTTTTAAGCCTTTTTCGAATGTAAATTAAATAGTAAAAGACTCTTTAGATATCAAGTAATTGTTCTTGACCGATTAAGGTTAATAGTTTTGATTTAAAAATACATTTTACATTCAATTTGGTTTTCAGTTAATTTAACTAAAATAACTCATTTTTAATAAAATCTATTTAGATCATATGATAGAAAAAAGCAAGCTCTACAACTTTTGTCAAGTTTCCATACATTTATCTTGCTTTCTTTTCAAAGAAAAATCGATTTCAAATATTAATTTGTTAATTAAACTAACTTAATAAGTCGCCATTTTGAAAAATGAATGTTAAAAAGAAACTTACTATTATTAGCTATCATGTAGTGAAGGAATCATATTAATTAAGTTATTAAAAGCAGAGAAATCTGAATTTGAATATTTATTCCCTTTTTTTCTGATCTTGCCCTTATATAACACTCAAAACACAGACCAGATTAAAAATGCCAATTTCCATAAAATTCTCTTTCTCACCAGTCCTTTGTAAAGCCTTAACAAATGAAAATCATTCAAATAGTGGTCGCGTTGTTTGCTGTTCATAGTAATGGAAAAAGTCTGCAAGAACGAACGGATTTATTTCTGGTATGCTCAAAATGTTCATTAAAAATTCACAAATCTCATCTCAAGTGAAATTCAATTTAGGAAGCGGCTAAAAAATGCCAATTAATGGAAGGATTTCCGGTTCTGGATATTCGATCATTATTTTTAGATAATCCAATCGTCTACAAAGAACCTCGATGTGTGTTGACTTGTATATTGGAAGAACTAGAGATTATCAAAAATGGAAACGTCAATTTCTTCAATTTAGTCGAGTTGCTTCCAATTCCAATATCAACAAATGATTTGATGAATCCAAGATTATTGGCTATTGCCAGCAAATGCAAGCCGAATGTTAATCCAGAAAAATGTGAATTTTCATATAAATTAATGACTTGCTTTACATCCGTTGTGTCCACTTTGCAAAGTATTGTGAGATTTTAAGAAATTTCAAGCAGCACATGCCAAAAGGTCGCAGTTACTATTTATCAGCTTCAAATTATCTGTGAAACATTCGGAAATTAAATTTCAAATTTTTAATAAAAATGGACACGCATTGTGTGTGTTTGAAGAATGGCAGTCATCAAATTAATCTTCAACTTTGATATTAAAAGTGAAACTGATCAACAAAAGTAGTTTTGATTAATTTTTGAAGGTGGGGGTTATTCATGAATGACGTTTTATGTAGTTTGGAGAGGTGAGATGTGCTATAGATGTGTAATCCTGGGATGGGTTTCTGGATTGACATGTCCACCTACTAAGTCGCCCTAAGTAGTTCAGCCCTAAATCGCTACACTTACCTACTCTCCTCTTTACATAGCTAATCCTCTGGCAATTCTTATCCCAATCTACCATACTCCTCCCCTACTCCAACCCTCCTCCTACCCTACTCCTACCTTACTCCTACCTTACTTAAATCTTAAAAATCTTAAAATAATAAGCAACTCAGCTTAAAGAAGGACTCAGCTTACAAAACATTACCTTAAACTCAATTTTAAGGAATACATCATTTACGAACAACCCCTCAAGCACATCATCTCGTTCATTTCATAATAATTTTTGATAATAATAATAATTGCAATAATATTTTTCGAAAAAAAGAGTTCCAAAAGAAAGGCAATTATCAGCCACACCATGCCAAATTTCTTCTTCAGATTAAATGACACGCCTCATGCTTCACTGAGATTTAATTTCAATTGTCTGAAATCGGAATAAAAAATTCTTCTTTTCTTTCCAATCGAGCGAATGTATTCATAGATTTATAACGAAATTAACTTTGCTATCTATCACTCGACCATTCATTTTCCTATTGTCCATTTGATTTAACTTTCAACGATTTACAGCTCATTCACAGTCAGTCATTCATTCAATCAAGAAAATAAAAAAGCATTTCTATTTTTTTTCTGTATGTTGATATAAAATTAAATTAATTGAATTGCTCGTCAAGTTGACTATCGATGTCTCCCTGTAGAGCAATAGAGCAAAAGATTGAGAGAATCATGAAGTACAAAGCTATTGTTCTTATAATCCCAACAATTGTTATATTTCTTCTCATTTTATGTTTGAGTCTTATGAAAAATGGTACAGCAGATTAAGAGATAAATGAAATTGCAATTGGAACAAAAAAAGAGTTGTAGCAAAAGTCGTGCACATGGGAGGACAAAAAACAGTGTCTAAAGATAATTTTGTAATTAATTGTTATGTTCATGAAAAATTGAATGAGATGGAAAAAGAGTTTTATTGCTTTTTTCAAGGAACTTTTGAAGCTGGTTAAGTTTGCAATGTTAAAAAATTTCTTTTATTATTTTTTTAAATATAACGTATTTTTGATATTTTAAAAGTAACGGATTTTAAAACTTTTCAAATGTTGGATTTCATGATTTGAAAAAAAAACTGACTTTGGAAATTCAAAAATGACGGTTTTTTAATTTTAAAATAACGGATTTTGAAAATTATAACAGAAAACGGACTTCGAAAATTCTAAAATAACGGAATGTGAAATTTAAAAATAAACGACTTTTTAAAATTTGAAAATAATGGATTTTGGAAATTTGACCAGAAAATGGACTCTGAAAATTCAAAAATAACGGATTTTGAAAATTTGAAATAATAAAGATGTTGAAAATTTAAAAAAATAACAAATTGTTAAAATAACCATTTTTAAGACATTTAAAACAATTATAACTATCCATTGTCTTTAAAATTCACGACAGAAACGTCAAAAAAATGAACAATTTAAAAAAATTCACAAAACACAAAACAATAGCATAAATCATGAAAGAAGAGTCCTCGAAGGATTTGTTTATACATCCTTTTAAGTCATCACAAGAGTTTCTTTGTTTTCATATCAAAAATGC